CACGGGGGGAGAGAGACACGGGGTGAGAGACACGGGGTGAGAGAGACACGGGGTGAGAGACACGGGGTGAGAGAGAGAGACACGGGGTGAGAGAGAGAGACACACGGTGAGGAGAGAGACACGGGGGGGAGAGAGACACGGGGTGAGGAGAGAGACACGGGGTGAGATACACGGGGGTGAGAGAGAGAGACACGGGGTGAGAGAGAGACACGGTGTGAGGAGAGAGACACACGGTGAGGAGAGAGACACGGGGGGGAGAGAGATACGGGGTGAGAGAGAGACACACGGTGAGAGAGAGAGACACGGTGTGAGGGAGACACGGTGTGAGAGAGAGACACAGAGAGACACGGTGTGAGAGAGAGACACGGGAGTGAGGAGACACGCGGTGAGAGACACGGAGAGACACGGCGTGAGAGACACGTTGTGAGAGAGACACGGTGCGAGAGAGACACGGTGAGAGAGAGACACGGGGTGAGAGAGAGACACGGGGTGAGAGAGAGACACGGGGTGAGAGAGAGACACGGGGTGAGAGACACGGGGTGAGAGAGAGACACGGGGTGAGAGATAGAGAGAGACACGGGGTGAGAAAGAGAGACACGGGGTGAGAGAGACACGGGGTGAGAGAGACACGGTGAGGAGAGACACGGTGTGAGAGAGAGACACGGGAGTGAGGAGACACGCGGTGAGAGACACGGAGAGACACGGCGTGAGAGAGACACGGTGTGAGAGAGACACGGAGAGACACGGTGTGAGAGAGAGACACGGTGAGAGAGAGACACGGGGTGAGAGACACGGGGTGAGAGACACGGGGTGAGAGACACGGGGTGAGAGAGAGACACGGGGTGAGAGAGAGACACGGGGTGAGAGACACGGGGTGAGAGAGAGACACAGAGAGACACGGTGTGAGAGAGAGACACGGGAGTGAGGAGACACGCGGTGAGAGACACGGAGAGACACGGCGTGAGAGACACGTTGTGAGAGAGACACGGTGCGAGAGAGACACGGTGAGAGAGAGAAACGGGGTGAGAGAGAGACACGGGGTGAGAGAGAGACACGGGGTGAGAGAGAGACACGGGGTGAGAGACACGGGGTGAGAGAGAGACACGGGGTGAGAGATAGAGAGAGACACGGGTGAGAAAGAGAGACACGGGGTGAGAGAGACACGGGGTGAGAGACACGGGGTGAGAGAGAGACACGGGGTGAGAGAGAGACACGGGGTGAGAGACACGGGGTGAGAGAGAGAGACACGGGGTGGGAGAGAGGGACACGGGGTGAGAGAGACACGGGGTGAGAGAGAGACACGGTGTGAGGGAGACACGGTGTGAGAGAGAGACACGGGGTGAGAGAGACACGGGGTGAGAGAGACACGGAGTGAGAGAGACACGGGTTGTGAGGAGAGACACGGTGTGAGAGAGAGACACGGTGTGAGGGAGACACGGTGTGAGAGAGAGACACGGGGTGAGAGAGACACGGGGTGAGGGAGAGACACGGGGTGTGAGAGAGAGACACGGAGAGACACGGGGTGTGAGGGAGACAGATGGACGTGTAAATGTTGAACCCTTTCGTGATGCTGTACAATAATAAACATGGCTGCATGGGGCCTTCAATCCACTGCTGGATAGAAACGCAGTGGGCGGGAGGGTGGGAGGGGTGGGAATGTTGCCCAGACACCGTCACCATAGCTACCGGGATCTGGAAGCTGATTGGTTGCGGCGGCGTCGTCGTCGCCATGCCGACGGCAGCCCCGCCCACCGCCGCCCCCTCCACTTCCATTGGCTGAGCTTCCTCGCGTTGCCCCGGCGACGGCTGTTGCCAGGGAGGGGTGTTGCTGGGAGGCGGGGTCATGTGACTCCAGAGCTGGGGGGATGCGTTGCTAGGCGACGAGCTGAGGGAGGCGTTGCTAGGCGACGAGCTGAGAGGGGCGTTGCTATGGGGCGAGCTGAGGGGAGCGTTGCTATGGGGCGAGCTGAGAGGGGCGTTGCTATGGGGTGAGCTGAGAGGGGCGTTGCTATGGGGTGAGCTGAGAGGGGCGTTGCTATGGGGTGAGCTGAGAGGGGCGTTGCTATGGGGCGAGCTGAGGGGGGCGTTGCTAGGGGGTGAGCTGAGGGGGGCGTTGCTAGGGGGTGAGCTGAGGGGGGCGTTGCTAGGGGGTGAGCTGAGGGGGGCGTTGCTAGGGGGTGAGCTGAGGGGGGCGTTGCTAGGGGGTGAGCTGAGAGGGGCATTGCTATGGGGCGAGCTGAGAGGGGCGTTGCTATGGGGCGAGCTGAGGGGGGCGTTGCTATGGGGTGAGCTGAGTGGAGCGTTGCTATGGGGCGAGCTGAGAGGGGCGTTGCTAGGGAACGAGATGAGGGGAGCGTTGCTAGGGAACGAGATGAGGGGAGCGTTGCTATGGAGCAATATGAGTGGAGCGTTGCTATGGGGTGAGCTGAGAGGAGCGTTGCTATGGGGTGAGATGAGATCGGCGTTGCTATGGGGAGCGTTGCTATGGGGTGAGCTGAGAGGAGCGTTGCTATGGAGCAATATGAGAGGGGCGTTGCTATGGGGTACGTTGCTAAGGGGTGCGTTGCTATGGGGTGAGATGAGAGGGGCGTTGCTATGGGGTGCGTTGCTATGGGGAGCGTTGCTAAGGGGTGCGTTGCTATGGGGTGCGTTGCTATGGGCCGTGGTCTGTGTTGTATTGTCCAGTCTGTCCATGTTTGTTGTTGTTGTTGTTGTGCCCCGTGTTGTTGTTGTGCCCCGTGTTGTTGTTGTCGCTGCACAGGACTCCGCCTCCGTCTCCGTCCAACCGTCGAGCAGCTGACTGAGCGAGGTGGGGAACGCCCTCCTGGCACCAACGACGCTCCCCATTGGCCGCCCCCCCCGCCTTACGCCCCGCCCCCTCTTCTCCCATTGGCTCCCCGCGGCTCCCCCCCACCGCCCGCACGGTCTCGTCGGCCGCTCCGATTGGCTGCTCACGAGGCCCCGGCGGCGGGGGCGGGGCGCCTCCTTCTCCCATTCGCCGATCGCCCGGCGAAGGCTCCGCCCCTGGAAGTGCAGGCCACGCCCCCTCGTCGGCGGACCACGCCCACTCGAGGCCTAGCCACGCCCCCCCCGCCGCCATCGCTCTGCAGGCAGAGCTCCTCCTTTAGGTCCTCCCACAGAGCCTCATAGTTGAGTGGTCCTGAGGGACAGCGGTAAACCACTCACTCACAAAGCCTCATAGTTGAGTGGTCCTGAGGGACAGCGGTAAACCACTCACTCACAAAGCATCATAGTTGAGTGGTCCTGAGGGACAGCGGTAAACCACTCACTCACAAAACCTCATAGTTGAGTGGTCCTGAGGGACAGCGGTAAACCACTCACTCACAAAGCCTCATAGTTGAGTGGTCCTGAGGGACAACGGTAAACCACTCACTCACAAAGCCTCATAGTTGAGTGGTTCTGAGGGACAGCGGTAAACCACTCACTCACAAAGCCTCATAGCTGAGTGGTCCTGAGGGACAGCGGTAAACCACTCACCACTCACAAAGCCTCATAGTTGAGTGGTCCTGAGGGACAGCGGTAAACCACTCACTCACAGAGCCTCATAGTTGAGTGGTCCTGAGGGACAGCGGTAAACCACTCACCACTCACACTCACAAAACCTCATAGTTGAGTGGTCCTGAGGGACAGCGGTAAACCACTCACTCACAAAGCCTCATAGTTGAGTGGTCCTGAGGGACAGCGGTAAACAACTCACTCACTCACAAAGCCTCATAGTTGAGTGGTCCTGAGGGACAGCGGTAAACCACTCACTCACAAAGCCTCATAGTTGAGTGGTCCTGAGGGACAGTGGTAAACCACTCACCACTCACAAAGCCTCATAGTTGAGTGGTCCTGAGGGACAGCGGTAAACCACTCACTCACAGAGCCTCATAGTTGAGTGGTCCTGAGGGACAGCAGTAAACCACTCACTCACAAAGCCTCACAGTTGAGTGGTCCTGAGGGACAGCGGTAAACCACTCACCACTCACACAGCCTCATAGTTGAGTGGTCCTGAGGGACAGCGGTAAACCACTCACCACTCACACTGCCTCATAGTTGAGTGGTCCTGAGAGACAGCGGTAAACCACTCACTCACAAAACCTCATAGTTGAGTGGTCCTGAGGGACAGCGGTAAACCACTCACAAAGCCTCATAGTTGAGTGGTCCTGAGGGACAGCGGTAAACCACTCACAACTCACACAGCCTCATAGTTGAGTGGTCCTGAGGGACAGCGGTAAACCACTCACTCACAAAGACTCATAGTTGAGTGGTCCTGAGGGACAGCGGTAACCCACTCACTCACAAAGACTCATAGTTGAGTGGTCCTGAGGGACAGCGGTAAACCACTCACTCACAAAGCCTCATAGCTGAGTGGTCCTGAGGGACAGCGGTAAACCACTCACCACTCACAGTCTCATAGTTGAGTGGTCCTGAGGGACAGCGGTAAACCACTCACCACTCAAAAAGCCTCATAGTCGAGTGGTCCTGAGGGACAGCGGTAAACCACTCACCACTCACAAAGCCTCATAGTTGAGTGGTCCTGAGGGACAGCGGTAAACCTCTCACCACTCACAAAGCCTCATAGTTGAGTGGTCCTGAGGGACAGCTGTAAACCACTCACTCACAAAGCCTCATAGTTGAGTGGTCCTGAGGGACAGCAGTAAACCACTCACACTCACAAAGCCTCATAGTTGAGTGGTCCTGAAGGACAGCGGTAAACCACACACCACTCACACTAACAAAGGCCTCATAGTTGAGTGGTCCTGAGGGACAGCGGTAAACCACTCACTCACAAAGCCTCATAGCTGAGTGGTCCTGAGGGACAGCGGTAAACCACTCACCACTCACAGTCTCATAGTTGAGTGGTCCTGAGGGACAGGGATAAACCGCTCACCACTCACAAAGCCTCATAGTTGAGTGGTCCTGAGGGTACAGCGGTAAACCACTCACTACTCATAAAGCCTCATAGTTGAGTGGTCCTGAGGGACAGCGGTAAACCACTCACTCACAAAGCCTCATAGTTGAGTGGTCCTGAAGGACAGCGGTAAACCACTCACTCACAAAGCCTCATAGTTGAGTGGTCCTAAGGGACAGCGGTAAACAACTCACAAAGCATCATAGTTGAGTAGTCCTGAGGAACAGCGGTAAACCACTCACTGACACTCACAAAGCCTCATAGTTGAGCGGTCCTGAGAGACAGCGGTAAACCACTCATTCACAAAGCCTCATAGTTGAGTGGTCCTGAGGGACAGCGGTAAACCACTCACACTCACAAAGCCTCATAGTTGAGTGGTCCTGAGGGACAGCGGTAAACAACTCACTCACTCACAAAGCCTCATAGTTGAGTGGTCCTGAGGGACAGCGGTAAACCACTCATTCACAAAGCCTCATAGTCGAGTGGTCCTGAGGGACAGCGGTAAACCACTCACCACTCACAAAGCCTCATAGTTGAATGGTCCTGAGGGACAGCGGTAAACCACTCACCACTCACAAAGCCTCATAGTTGAGTGGTCCTGAGGGACAGCGGTAAACCACTCACAAAGCCTCATAGTTGAGTGGTCCTGAGGGACAGCGGTAAACCACTCACAACTCACACAGCCTCATAGTTGAGTGGTCCTGAGGGACAGCGGTAAACCACTCACTCACAACGCCTCATAGTTGAGTGGTCCTGAAGGACAGCGGTAAACCACACACCACTCACACTAACAAAGGCCTCATAGTTGAGTGGTCCTGAGGGACAGCGGTAAACCACTCACACTCACAAAGCCTCATAGTTGAGTGGTCCTGAGGGACAGCGGTAAACAACTCACTCACTCAAAAAGCCTCATAGTTGAGTGGTCCTGAGGGACAGCGGTAAACCACTCACCACTCAAAAGCCTCATAGTCGAGTGGTCCTGAGGGACAGCGGTTAAACCACTCACCACTCACAAAGCCTCATAGTTGAGTGGTCCTGAGGGACAGCGGTAAACCACTCACCACTCAAAAAGCCTCATAGTCGAGTGGTCCTGAGGGACAGCGGTAAACCACTCACCACTCACAAAGCCTCATAGTTGAGTGGTCCTGAGGGACAGCGGTAAACCACTCACCACTCACAAAGCCTCATAGTTGAGTGTTCCTGAGGGACAGCGGTAAACCACTCACTCACAAAGCCTCATAGTTGAGTGGTCCTGAGGGATAGCGGTAAACCACTCACTCACAAAGCCTCATAGTTGAGTGGTCCCGAGGGACAGCGGTAAACCACTCACCACTCACAAAGCCTCATAGTTGAGTGGTCCTGAGGGACAGCGGTAAACCACTCATTCACAAAGCCTCATAGTTGAGTGGTCCTGAGGGACAGCGGTAAACCACTCACCACTCACAAAGCCTCATGGTTGAGTGGTCCTGAGGGATAGCGGTAAACCACTCACTCACAAAGCCTCATAGTTGAGTGGTCCCGAGGGACAGCGGTAAACCACTCACCACTCACAAAGCCTCATAGTTGACTGGTCCTAAGGGACAGCGGTATACCACTCACACTCACAAAGCCTCATAGTTGAGTGGTCCTGAGGGACAGCGGTAAACCACTCACTCACAAAGCCTCATAGTTGAGTGGTCCTGAAGGACAGCGGTAAACCACACACCACTCACACTAACAAAGGCCTCATAGTTGAGTGGTCCTGAGGGACAGCGGTAAACCACTCACACTCACAAAGCCTCATAGTTGAGTGGTCCTGAGGGACAGCGGTAAACCACTCACTCACAAAGCCTCATAGTTGAGTGGTCCTGAAGGACAGCGGTAAACCACACACCACTCACACTAACAAAGGCCTCATAGTTGAGTGGTCCTGAGGGACAGCGGTAAACCACTCACACTCACAAAGCCTCATAGTTGAGTGGTCCTGAGGGACAGCGGTAAACCACTCACCACTCACACAGCCTCATAGTTGAGTGGTCCTGAGGGACAGCGGTAAACCACTAACTCACACTCACAAAGCCTCATAGTTGAGTGGTCTTGAGGGACAGCGGTAAACCACTCACAAAGCTTCATAGTTGAGTGGTCCTGAGGGACAGCGGTAAACCACTCACAAAGCTTCATAGTTGAGTGGTCCTGAGGGACAGCGGTAAACCACTCACTCTCACAAAGCCTCACAGTTGAGTGGTCCTGAGGGACAGCGGTGAACCACTCATACTCACAAAGCCTCATAGTTGAGTGGTCCTGAGGGACAGCGGTAAACCACTCACCACTCACAAAGCCTCATAGTTGAGTGGTCCTGAGGGACAGCGGTAAACCACTCACCACTCACAAAGCCTCACAGTTGAGTAGTCCTGAGGGACAGCGGTAAACCACTCACTCACAAAGCTTCATAGTTCAGTGGTCCGGAGGGACAGCGGTAAACCACTCACTCACAAAGCCTCATAGTCGAGTGGTCCTGAGGGACAGCAGTAAACCACTCACACTCACAAAGCCTCATAGTTGAGTGGTCCTGAGGGACAGCGGTAAACCACTCACTCACAAAGCCTCATAGTCGAGTGGTCCTGAGGGACAGCGGTAAACCACTCACCACTCACAAAGCCTCATAGTTGAGTGGTCCTGAGGGACAGCGGTAAACCACTCACCACTCACAAAGCCTCATAGTTGAGTGGTCCTGAGGGACAGCGGTAAACCACTCACTCACAAAGCCTCATAGTTGAGTGGTCCTGAGGGACAGCGGTAAACCACTCACTCACACTCACAAAGCCTCATAGTTGAGTGGTCCTGAAGGACAGCGGTAAACCACACACCACTCACACTAACAAAGGCCTCATAGTTGAGTGGTC